AATCTGCCTGCCTTAGCCTCCCAGAGAATTTTGTTTTGTTGTTGTTTTTATTGTTACAATATCTAAGAAGTCATTGTCTGATCCCAAGTTACAAAGACTTACTTCTGTGTTTTCTTATACTAAAAGATGTATGGTATGAAGTAGGGGTCCAACTTGTTTTTCTTCTTTTTTTGTGTGTAAGTATCCATTCAACTAAAAATGCAACTGGCATGGTAATTCACAGCACTGCAGTTGCTTTGTATGTCCTTATTTAGTTTATCATATATTGGATCTGTGGACAAATAAGTCTAGCAGATGGTTTTACAAGAGCAGATTATGTAATATTAGGAGTGATATATCAAAATAAATAGAGCTGTTCGAGAAACAGCTTAGGAAGAAGGTATGAAAGATGGAGAGTTTAAAATACCAGTTACATTGAATTTGACCTGTCAGTTGGTGTAAAAACATATAATGTGATATAAACTCTTTCCTGCAGGTTAATGAATGTCAGATGTTCTCTTTGTGAAGATCTTGAAATCTGGAGATTTTACACCTGCCTTCTGTATTTCAGTCGAGTTTTATCACTCAGCAAAGAAAATTTTATACCATCCAATCAGTCCCCCAGTTCCAATTTTAAGTGTTAGAAGAGGCCATATTTTATAATCATGTATTTGGGTCATTCTTAGAAATTCTATGCATTTTTAAAAGGTAAATTGTTAGAAGACTTTCCCTACATCATTCGTAAGAACATTGCTATTTGTCCTGCAGGTCTGGAGCACGAGCACCTGTGAATTTGTGCGTACTCTCAATGGGCATAAGCGAGGCATTGCCTGTCTCCAGTACAGGGACCGTCTGGTGGTCAGCGGATCATCAGATAATACCATCAGGTGAGTACAAGTTGGTGGGCTGACAGGGCAGGCTTACTTTTGCCATAGTGTTCATTCATTTCCTAGTTCTGAGGCTCAAACAACTCAGAGTAAATGGGAGGCTTCAGATAAGAAAAGCGTAGGAACCTTTACAAATCTGTTTGGGTCTGCATATTCAAGTGGGGAACTGTGTATGCCCTGAGTGTTCTTTTAAGGTTCCCCCAACACAGAGTTTTATAACCCCAGCTCTACCCAGGATTACTTAATACCGGTGCACCTCAGAACAGACTGGGGTGTTCCAGCCTAACACTCCACTTTCCCTTACCTGTGATCCCCAACTCCCTCCCTAACAGCAGTATACATGATTTCTCTCTCCCAAGACTGCACTACAAGATTGTCCTCTCTGGCTGGTTGTTTCTTTTAGAGATTTCCCTTTCTCTTTTTAACACTCAGTCTCTTTGCATTGTAGTAAATATGAATAGGAATAGACATTAGATATCTGACTAAGAATATTCCTTAAGTATCTATTGAGTTATTCCAAGTCATGCTTTTGCATACAAGTACATGCAAGTAGCTTTACAGAAGTGGCTGATTTTGGCACTTACAACCAAATTGCCTAAAATCTAGGTAAAATAAAGATTTAAGTTCAAGATTTTTTTTAAAAGGCAAGCAAGCAAACAAAAGCTATACTGCTACTTTCTTCTTTTTTGATTCTTGTTTTTATTTTACATAATAATTATATGTATTTATGCAATGTGATGTAAAATTGCAGGTTTTCTTTATTTAAGTGTTAAGAGACGTAAAAGTTTTGAGCTTAAATGATGGTTTTATCATACTCATCATGCTTTATGGTACTGCTTAATGTTTAACCACTTACTGGTCCAATGATTTAAATATAAGATGACCCAAATTGCATATTTTTTCATTAATTTTTATAAGCTAATGTAACAGGAAATATAAGAATGACAATTTTATCAATATAAGAATTGACTGGTTAAAGTGACACCTGCCCCACATAAATGCGCTGCCTGAATGTCACTCCTGGTAAACTGTTGAGTCCTTAACTTCCTCATTGCAATGTCTGAGGTTTTACAAGATAGATGATGCACATTGCTGTGCAGTTTATAGGCGTAAACTACTTTGGAGTCATAGCGGCAGTGCGGGATGGCTCTGTTCACAATAGATTAGAGGTACTGTCATCACTTTCTCAAGCGTATATGCTGAGGGCAGCTGTAGAAAAATGTTCATTGGATGAGAGTTCCTGGTGGGGAAGCTTTCAAAAAGTCAGTGGTAGCTTTAGTTTGTTCCCTTTGTTTTGTACATGCTAGTTTATAGTGATTTGTTTTTGTAAATAATGTATAAAAATCGCAATAGAAAAAAATCTCTTCATTCCAACATTATTATGTTAATCATATGCAGAGAAAAAAAGCTTAATGTCATCTTTAGGTTTATATTTCCAAGGTACTGTCCATACATGATGAGTCTCCTACTCAGACTTTATAAACAAGATGGCTTTAATACAGTGTGTATGAAGGGAGAAAAGCATCATCGGGGTCGGGAGCCCACATATTAGCCTACCGTCTTACCCTCAGGATGCCTTGTGGACAGTGTGCGGTAGTCTCTGGCTATGTGTATTTTCTGTCTGTCTCCTTCCTCGAGCATGCTTTTTCTCCTTTAATGCCTGTGATTGCCATCTCTTCCTGAAAAGTACTTCCAATACTGTTTGGCTACGTGGTTTTGTTAACTTAGATATCAAGAGAATGCCTAGCAACTACATATACTTGAAGTTTCTTGTTGATTTGATTTAAATAGTAAATGCCCATGATTTTAAATAGTTTTAAAATGTGTAAAAGTTTTCTTATGCAACAGAAAGTGAGGTTTCCTTCTAATTAGTGCTTAAAAACCACAAATGATACGTGTTCTTACATGTCTTTATGTGTGTAATGTTGAGTGAGGTAGAAATAAAGAACTCACAAGTAGTAAAAAGTCCTGTTTGTATAGAACAGATAGGAAGAACTTAAGGATCCTGTGAATTGTGTGGGAATCTGTCACACAGATGTCTGTTTCTCATTCAAGGCTTTGGGATATCGAATGTGGTGCCTGCTTAAGAGTCCTAGAGGGACATGAAGAATTGGTCCGATGCATCCGATTTGATAACAAGAGAATTGTCAGTGGTGCCTATGATGGGTATGTGTTTCAGATTTTCAAATGCACAGGCTGGGGATTTAGCTCAGCGGCAAAAGCGCCTGCCTGGCAAGCGCAACGTCGTGAGTTCGGTTCCCGGTACCGGAGAAAGACCAAAAAAAAAAAAAAAAAAAAAAAAAAAGATTTTCAAATGCACAGCTGTAACCATTTCAAGAAGAAAAAGAAGTGCTATATTTTAAGTAGTTCTGGGTATTCCAGGTCCCATGCTAGGTACTTACTCTATGGGAAGGTGGATGGCAGATATTATTATACCAGTTGATCAAGTGAGGACACCCTCAGAAAGATGAAGTAAATCTTGCCCCAAATCTCACAGTAGCAGAGCCTCTGTAGTTTCTAAGTTTAGGTTTTAATCATTGTAAACTTGAGGAGTAACTTTGGCTTCAGTTCTTTGTTCTAGCTCTAAATAAACCAGATGTTAAGTAAAAAATTTTTTCTTCTTTTCCCCTTTTGGGCAATTGAACAAATCCTTTGAGACACTTCATGACTTTTTAAATGAGCAAATAGCAGTTGTAAATCTTTCAAAATGACCATAGATATATACTTCATGAATAGGTCAGTTGGTCTATTATACTTGTATTACTAATTTTCAGCACTTGTTTCCTTGAAGAAAGATAGCCTTGGAATTTCACACAGAGCACTCGCTTCTGTCAGCAGAACCAGCTTAGTTCCAGAGAACCACCTGATTCATAAATTTAGTGACAATAGATTATCAAGTGAGGAAATGAATTTAGATAAAACCTGCAGTTGTTTCCTTATCTGCTTTAAAATTATGCTTCTTCAAATTTTTAGCAATTTGGAGACTGTTTAGGTTCTTACTTCTTCCAGAATCAATATAATTTGTTCAAAAACTTGTAAAAACATAAGCTTGTTGAGCTGAATGTGGTGGCACCTGCCTGTAATCCCAGCACTCCTGAGGCAGAGGCAGGAGGATTGCCATGAATTGAAGGCCAGCCTGGGCTACATAGTGAGTTCAAGGCCAGCCTGTACTACAAAGCGAGACATTGTCTCAAAAACAAAACAAAACAAACAACAACAACAAAAAGATTATTGCCCACTAATTTTATAATAGGCAGTTCAAGTGTACTACTTTTGGTCAAAGAAATGCTTGACAGTATTTAAAATGCTAACTTTTTCTCTAATCAGTCTCATTTTCTTTTGTAGGAAAATCAAAGTTTGGGACTTGCAAGCCGCTCTGGACCCTCGAGCCCCGGCAAGCACACTGTGTTTGCGCACGTTGGTGGTACGTGATTCGTTGAAATGGGCCTTGGTTGCCTGCTCTGTAGGGTGACTCTCTGCAGATGCCCAGCCTCAGTGTATCACAAGGAACCTTGTGGATCTTGTGACTTGCCTTCAGAGAACTTGACTGTTAATTTTGGTTAGCCAAATTCAGGGAATATCTGACATTTATGTTATATGAGCTCTTAGATGTGAGTGCAGGCTTCCTCTTTTGTAGGTGAACTGGTGTTCTGATAGAGCATGCAGTATTCCTTTCCTTCCTTTCTTCCTTAGGAGATTACTTAATACGGCTATCAATGACTATGTCAGGGATGGCAAACCTTCTAGAGCTTCTAGTGATTCAACAGTCTCCTGGGTCACCTGTGCCATAGGTTCACCACCACTGGACTATGTTATGTTTTTAATCATAGCACATTTATGTGTTGCTAAGGTAATAGTTTCCCTCAATCTTTTTTTTTTTTTTTTAATGAAACAGTGCTGGGTATTGAACCCAGGGCCTTGCACATGTTAGGCAGGTTCTGTACCACTGAGCTACATCTCCAGCCCTTTTTAGTTTTTGAGACGGGTTCTCACTATGCTGTTCAGGCTGATCTTGAACTTGCAATCTTTCTCACTTAGTCTCCTGAGTAGCTGGGATTACTGCATGCACCACCACCCTAGCTGTCAACCTTTACTCTGTGAATTGTTGCTTTGCCAAGAGGAATGATCTATTTTTAATTTCTAAAGTTGATGTTGAGTTAAAGAGTAATTATGTATTTTATGAGGTAAATGTGATGTTTTGATCCATGTATACATTATAGAAAGGGTTAACAGTTAGCATATATATCACTTCACCAGTTTATCTTTTTTTTTTTTTTTTTTTTGGTGGTGAGAACATTAAAAGTGTGTTCTTCTAGCAATTTTGAAACACACTTTATTATTAACTGAGGTTTGTATGCGTTATAAGAGATCATTAAAACTGATTCCCTGATTCCTGATGTCTAACTGAAACTATACCATTTGATTAACATCATCTGCCCACCACCTCACCTACCTTTCTGTCTACTTCCTATTTCTATGAGACTGACTATTTTAGGTTCTGACATATAACAGATCAATATTTGTCTTTCTGTGCCTGGCTTACTTCACTTAGTATAATGTCCTCCAGATCCATCCATGTCAATGCAAATGACAGGACTTCTTGTTTAAGACTAAATAAATATTTTATTTTTACATGCAAGGATACTTGAGCAACTTTTCTAAGATGATTACTTCGAAACAGACATCTGAATATAGTGATAAATTTTTCTTATTTTTTGTAGTTTTATCTTTTGTTTCTGTTTCTTTACCTCTTGCTTTGACTAGGACATGCAGAATTATGGTTAGGGCCATTCTTGGTTTCTTCATGATTTTAATGGTAATGTTTCACCATGAATTTTGGTATTGGCTGTGGTTTGAGACAGATATTCTTAGTCATGTTAAAAAAAAAAAAAACACTATTTTTCTGGTTCTAGTTTTTATGGCATATCAATAATGGTGTTAAATATTGTTTACCTTAGAATTCTAGGGCCTGTTGTGAGATACTCACATCATTTTTCTTTTTTGCCATATTAATGGGCCAGAATCTAGGATACAAAGTTTAATAAAAGAAAAATCTAGAAAGTAAATAAAAGAATTTGTTCTTAAGGTAAAGACCAAAGCTTAGTAAGCCTTGGAAAATTATTTAGGAAGCCTGGATGAGTGGCTCTGTTTTCAGCTTGTGCTGAATTTTCATTGTGCAATGTGAGGAATTGTAAAGATCTTATGTTATTCATTAAGTTGTTATATTTTGTAGGAACATTCTGGTCGTGTGTTTCGGCTACAGTTCGATGAGTTTCAGATCATCAGCAGTTCCCATGATGACACTATTTTGATTTGGGATTTCTTAAATGTGCCTCCCAGTGCCCAGAATGAGACACGTTCTCCCTCCCGAACATACACTTACATCTCCAGATAACAGTCTGCACTTTCACCCTTTCCAGGTGAGTATTCTTAATTTTGCTAATAGAATGTTCCTCCCCTTTGGGCAAATTTTGTGATTTGGTTTTCCCTGTGACATGAACTAAGGTCTATATTAGAACCAGGGCTCTAACATAAAGCTAGATCTTTATAGTCACATCAATAGAAGGTCTAAAATTGGAATCTTAGATATGTTGACTGCTGGTGTGAATGTGGTTTCTGTTTTTTAAAAAATATTTTCCTAAACAGTTTTCCCATTCATATCTATTTAGCATCAGTAAAGTCTCTTGAATTTTATTTTGGGGCATAAGAATCTCCTTTTTCTCTTTCTTTCCTCTCTTTCAGTTCTTTCTTTCTTTTTTAAGTTAAAAAACAAAAACTACAATCCTGCCACCAAAAAAACCTCAAAATCTCTCTTTCTCTGACTGCCACAGTGCACCTGTCACTGCCATTCCCTCAAGGATGAACTAGAAAGAGCGACTGGCTCAGTGGGTCCCTAAAGCCCCCTCATACAGGAGAGTCAATCCAGTGGTAGCCTGAGAAACAAGTCCTTGGCTCTAAGCCATTAGAACCATTGGGGATGGGATGATTTGATTGCTGCTCTTAAAAATTTGATTATTCTAGGACCTTTAGGTTTTTAAATTACTTTTTTAAATGAGGTAGTCATATTGTAGGAAGATGGCTGCTTGGATTATCATCAGGACCATACTGAATGTACAGATCATTTTGGGGATTATTTGTATCTCAACAAAATGTGGAGTCTTACAATCCATAAACATAGGTATATCTTTAATTCACACTTTCACCTTTACCTAAGCATTATTTTGCAGTTTTTCTTGTAGCAGTCTTGGACATACTTTGTTATGCTGATTCTGCCCTTAACTTTTTCTTTTCTAATGGGAACTTAAAACTGTACATTTCCCTCTGTGCATTGCTTCCAATGAGTCTTGTCCTTGCTTTTATTTTTTCACATCCAGTAGAACATAGAGCATAAGAACATAGATTATAAGAGAAGCATGTCAGGTAGAACATGGACAATCCCAGCTGTAGTTGGACTTACAAAACGAATAGCCTTGGAAGTAGGTGTGTCATGAGACAATTTAATTGTATCTGTTTTGTATTTATATAATGTGTTTGTGTCTTTGTACTCAGTTTATTAAAGAGGCATATGGTGATATCTAAGAGATCTATATACATTTCAGTTAATAGACAATTTATAGACATAGTAAGCTTCCACACATTGACAGCATTTGCATATTACCTATAGGTGCCTAGAAACAAGGTTCTTTTGGTTGAGGGTTAAGGCAGTGATTCCCAGTGTTCCTTCTCCTTGGCTGTGATAGAAGGGAAACTTACATTACTTGTTTCAGAATAAGTATCTTGTTATGATCTACAGTTTTAAGTCAACCTTAGGAATCTTTGAAAGCTTACATGATTTATAAAGTAATCATTTCCTGTGTTCCAACACAAGCAGTGAAATGTGTTTGTCTCGTCAGAATGAGTTACTTTTGACAACCTAGCAGTCAAAAGTGAGTTTGTCTCCTCTGAGTGAGTTACTTTTGACAACCTCAGCAGTCAGCTTTACAGATTTTATTGTTCATTTCCAAATTCTTTTTTTGATGAAACATGAAACAGTTACTACCGTGTGGTTCTTTAAGACTTATGTATAATAAGAAACACTTCCCTAATGATGATCTAACTTTGTGTAGTAAGTTATTCACCCCTAAAATTATCAGGTAAGACTATTTCTATGTTAGGAAATGTAGTAACAGATTTATTTGCCAAGTCATTTTTACAAAAAATTACTAACTCCTGAGACTTATATATATAGTAGCACAGAATTTATTCTCCTCTTTCTTATTATAAGATGATTAGGAAATTAGAACAGTATATAAGCCAAGAGGGAGAAAGTAAACTCCTACTGGTGGCTCACCATTGTTAACTCCTTTGGTGTATACCATGCCGGCCCCTTTAAAATTGTGGTTTATAACTACTTTTTAAAAATGCTTCCCCCCCACTTTATTGAAAAATTGTTACATGTTAGCAATGTCAGTGTTTGTCTAAATTATAATTCCTAATTGCCACGTTATTCAATTGTTTGGGGTAAGCCCTGTTGTTAGATATTTATGGTTTCCCTCTTTCCAGTTTTTAACATTTATAAGACAGCACTGTGTTCCTTCCTCTTGCCTGATCTTTGCCCCAGCGTTATGCACTGCGGATAGGATTCTGGAACTGTTTGGAGTGATTGTGTTAAAAGACCCTGTCATATCCAACAACTTGATGGACTGATTGTGTTGCTCTCCAGAAGAGCTATGTCTTACCTCTGGGTATTGGCATTTTCAAAGTAATTCAAGTAATCTTAAATGTCCTTGATGGTAAAGCAGCAGTGAATGAAATTTAGTCTTTCTTGAATTTATTAAGGAAGTGTGTTAGGATTCTTGATCTTTATGAAAATGACAACCTTTTGGGAAAATTGTCTTTTAAAAATCATACAGAATTTTAAGCCAGATGTGGTGGTGCACACCTGTAATCTGAGCACTTGGGAGGCTGATTCAGGAGGATCACTGAGAGAAGGGGGCCAGCCTAAGCTACATATTGAGCCAAAGGCCAGACTACACTAGACAACGAGACTTTGTCTCAAAAAAAAACCCCCAACCACACAAATAAGTAAAATGAAAAACCCAACCAAACCAATAAAATAAAAATCATAGACAATTTTTAAAAGTTTTTTTTCCCCCTTGTATGAATTTATACCTCAGGTGACTAGATCTTCTCAGCTAACAGCTCGGGGCAGTGTTCAGAATGGGTTGTGATCTATCAGTGACTGTGAAATAATTTGAATGGGTTTTGACTTTGCTTTCATTTACAACAGAAGTGTCAGCTTGCGTTGTTCGTAGTAATAGTAAATATTGTCTGCTGAATGTTCTATTTTAGGAGTGTGTGTGTGTGTGTGTACATATTTACATACATGGATGAATGTAGAGATTGTGATTAAAATGTGTTTCTGATCAAGGCCATACTCAAAATATGGAACATTCCATGGTCTTCTCTATATTCTCAACACTTGTTATTTTACAAGTGATTGACTTTAAAAAGTAATTTCTGACTACAGTATTAATATTTTATTTGGAAGGGATAGTTTATTTCTTTTGCATAATTTTGTTCTACAGTGATTGTTAGGGCTCTCCTGAAGATATGCAGCGAGCCTATTGTAGGTTAAAATTGTGGTTTAAAATATGAAACCTAGCATTGAACATTTCTGATACTTATTTTTAGTAAAGCAGTGAGAGATGACCAGTTATTGGGTCCCTCTCTTTGAATCTCTATCACTTAATGGGTAACTCTTTGAATTAAAAACAACTTTTTTGGCCAGGTGTGGTGGTACACGCCTGTAATTCCAGCACTCAGGAGGCTGAGGCAGGAGGATGCTACGAGTTCAAGTCTAGCCTGGGTTACAAAGTGAGTTCAAGGCCAGCCTGAACTGCATAGTAAAACCCTGTCTCAAAAAGACCAAAGGAAAAAAAAATAAAATAAAAAATAAATGAAAACAACTTTTTTGACCCTTAGTTCTCTTATTTGTGAAATGGGTATACTAATAGTTTCTACCTCTTAGGGTTGTTGTGAAGTTTAAATAAATACGATGCTTTAAAACAACTTGCAGCTTCTGTTTTTTATGCTGGTTATTTAAGAAGCAGTCATCTGTTAGGATGCATCTGTGACCTGTGACTGCAGATGGCTGCACTGTGACATATATGGTGTACCCTTGTTTAAGGAGAATAAACGTCCATGCTCTCTCCCCTCCCCCAGGGTTTCCTAGTCTTGAACTACTGGCTACATGGCTACCAAATGCCTAAGGGAGTTCGTTCACAGCTGAGTTATGAAGCTGGAATTGGTTCTAGACGCTGGGTAGATGCAAAGCAGCCTCACTCTTCAAGTACCGACATTTCTCACCTCTGATCCCGGCTCTACTTTGAGAAGGATACTTTAGCTTCACCGACTTCCAGTAGAACAGAAGCCCACTTCCTACCCCCATCAGTGAAAAAAATCTAATGCTTCAAATGTAAATTGTTCATATAAAGGAACATAACAGTCTGTTTTACAGAAGTAACTCAACCGTCAAGAGAAGACTTGGCCTCTAATTTATAATGCTTTGCACTTTGGTTTGATACTAAGAAGCAGCATTCTTCTTCAGTGAAATTTTGGGTGCCAAACACCTACCCAGAATGTCCAGGGCTTTCCTTTCAGAAGTTAGCATTCTCCTTTTGACTGTCCAAGTCATTATGAATTTTGACTTGTATTAGGGATACATATGGTGGACAATGGAAAACTCTCTCTGGATTGTTTTAGTAATATTTTTTGGATTATACTTTCTTTCTGTACCAGTTTCTTTTAATTTAAAGAACTATAAGCCAGCTATGTTATCTCTCCATAGGTAAGATAGCTCTTTTCTTTTATTAACTGTTCTCTGCTCCCAACCATCTCCTGATATTTGGTAGAGTAACACCTTTATCCATGTGCTTGCCTCCTAATTTAAAATACTGTATCCGCATGTAGATATAATGTACATAACAGTTTAACCTCAAGGTTGCTGGAGTCAGGCCCCCTGTGCCTGAGACACTAATGCAGAGTGTGTTCGCACTTAGCCATGGGCTGGGCTCGAGAACCTGATACCAGGGTTGATGTGGATGACCTAGAACCCTTCCTGCAGTATTCATATGGTGTTTTTATTTTGTTACTGTGTGTGTGTGTGTGTGTGTGTGTGTGGTGTGTTTTTAATGGGAATCTTGTTTTAAAATCTAACTTCTAAAGTTTTATCACAGAAATGTTTTACTTGTTGTGTAAGATATGCAATAGAGAGATACCTTAAATTTTTTTGTTATTGTTTTCCTCATAAGTACTTCTGAGTACTAGTGGTCACTTCCCGTAGTGTTCATTCGGCTTCTTTGTCAAAAGCCATCATTCTGTGCAGGCGTAACCCTGAGAAGGGAAGAACAAGAAGGCCCCATAGATAGGGCCTCCTGCTCTGCTACAGGGCCAACTGGTGTGCTGGAGCCTGTAGAGCAGGTCAGGCTGCTACAGAGCTCCATGTGGAGGGCAGGGTGCTCCCAAGTAGGGTGAAGCCTCAGGCCCAGGAGGCCCATGCTCGCCAGCTCTGCTGTCACCTGTTGCTGTGGCCCCTGCAGGCTCTCAAAGCTCTCAAGTGCTCTGCAGCCCGAGCCTAGAATGGCACTGTTGTTTCAATCATGCATGGAAAGGATGTTGCCATTCGGTCAACATTCCTTTTTTCTCCTTCAATATTAGGTTTTGATTTGCCCTTGCCATTGTTTCCAAAGATCAAGGAATGTCAATCCCATTTTAAAGGACCAAGAAGTCACCTCCTATGAATGCAGCCTCTTCCAGAAGAAGCACACTCTCCTCCTAGGAAAGACCCCTGGGCTCTGTTTGTCCTTTGCATTGAGAAGGGTGTGGGGATCAATGTGTGTGTATGTGGTTTGTTTGTTGAGTTGGCTTTGCTTTTTAATTTTTCTTTTGCCTTTTTAATTTTTCTTAAATATATCCTTCTTGCTCACATCCTACTAATTTCTGTTTTTGAGAGGTTGAGTCTCAAAAGTGTAAAAATAAACCTCCATTCATAAGGTAGATGCTGTAAGCATGACAGTGGTTGTGAAAGTGATTTGACTTTGACCGCTCGTCATGTTACAGCTTTTCTGTCAGACTGGCTAGGAAAGCCCAGGGGGGAGCGGGAGGGGCGGAGGTGATTTTTCTGAACGGATGGATTTTTTTTGGTTTTGTTTTTGCATGTTTAATACAGAAGTTCCTCTTGTTCCTTGGGAAACCATGGCCTTTGAATATGCACACAACCTTTGAATTGTGCCTACTAAATTATCGCAGGGGACTTTGGCACCCAAGGAATTCTGACTTTCTGGGATTACAGTAGTAATTCCTGGCCGTACTCTGGACTTTATTTTGCTAACCATAATTGAGCAACTGTAAATTACTGCTATATTAATGTTTTAAAGCACTGGGATAGTCTAATTCTAACTTGTAATTAATTATGTTTGCCAATTATCTGTTTGAAATAAATTTGTGTCTGAACAGCTATTGAAACTGTTAAATTGTACAGATATTATTCATGACAGCTTTGTACTGTGGAATGTGCTTAATAAAAAACAAAAAGTTTGACTTTTGTCCAATAAATTGCTAAGTAATGTCAATAAATCAAGTATGAATATTATGCAGTACACCTAATCTGGCTTCTTGCAATTGTTACTTCAGCTACTAACTCAAGCCAATACTCTTAATAAAGTGTTGCAATACTCTGATGTTCTGTTAAGAAACTGTTATGTATTATCAGGAATTCGGTGACATACCATTAAAGTTTATAGATTTTAAAAATCCTCTGCTTTGTAAAATGAAGTTGAAGGTAAAGTATTTTTGGCCTGTGAGAACTTTGTAAAGGTTGATGTAATTTCTTGTCTTGGGGCCTTCCTGAAAGCTAACTCTAACTCCGGGGGTTGGGAACTAATTCAAAGCTCATCCACAAATCTGCTTCCCACACATGATTATTTGCTTCACAAGTTACTGGAAAGATAGGAAAGTGGCCCCTTAGATGTCCCAGGTGGCCTGTAGGGGAGTGAATCCTCCACTCCTTGGAGAAGAGTGTGGAAGTGTTAGAGATGGCAACACAGGCATCTGAATGAAATTGTGTCATTCCACACGTTTGTAGGTACGTGCATCGCTGGTTGAATCCTTAGGCAGAAGGAACAGTTAGTATCTGCTTCTACTCAGAAGCCCTCCTGAGTAGTAGCTGGCTTTGCCCCTTTAGTCCATCAGATTGGTAATGTGGACTTTTTGAATAAAATTAGAGTACTTTGATATAATTGTCTCCATTTTTCTTGTGAAAAAAGTTTAAAAATGTGCCATATACATATAGGTAAGAAAAAAGTTTATAAATCATAAAAAATTAAACCATAATGCTTCCTTTACCCCAGTGCTCCAATTTCTTAACCAGTTTCCTGTGTATCCTTTAACAGATATACTCTGTATAGAAGGATGTATTTATATGTACACATTTATACCCTCCCCCCTTTTTTTTTTGTACAGGGCACAGAACCCAGGGCCTTGTGTATGCTGAGTATATTCTCTGCCACTAAGCTGCACCCCAGCCCATCTTTTAGTGCAGGCTGTGTTGCACCATGCTTTCTCATCTGCTATTTTTTATTTTTTTTTATTTTTATTTTTATTTTTATTTTTTTTTTGGTTTTTCTCCGGTACCGGGAACTGAACTCACGACCTTGCGCTTGCCAGGCAGGCGCTTTGCCGCTGAGCTAAATCCCCAGCCCCTCATCTGCTATTTTTTAGAAGATTATTGCATGTGAGTACATTCTTGTTAGTGGCTGCGTGATATTTGGCCATAAGGATGGACCATAATTTATATAGCCAGTTGCAGGTAAGAGTGGAGATTTAGTTTTTTACCTTTTCCAGTAGTGACTATCCTTTTTCACAGGTCTTTCTATCACAGGTCTCAGTAATTTGGGTGGATTATTAGGAACAGGATCATTAGATACCCATTTATTACCACAGCAGAGGGGAGAGTAGGAGCTTGAGTGTAGGACTGGCTTCTAACCTCTCTAGTTCTGTTTCCTGTCCTCCCATAGTTGGTGTAAATGCTAGTCTTTTTATTTCTTGAAAGGTCAGGTGTTGCAAGAAATTCACAGCCACGAATGCATCCCATGATGATGGAGACTTAGGTCTTGTGGAACTCCTTGGATATCTAATCAGAGATAGACGTGGTCCTTTGCCATTTCATCTGCTTGTTTTCCAGTTAAGAAGATAGGAAGGTGGGTCATCTGGCTGATAATCCTCTTACTAACTAGCCTCCTGGCAGTTTGGATCTTTGCTTCAGTGTTTCACTAGCACAGGTCTGGGGCTGGGGTGCATACCTCAGGATGGGTGCCTTGTAAGAACGCAGACCTAGTGATGCTAATTCTAATTGTTTTCAGGAAAGCTGGAAATCTTGACAGCGTGAATGCGCAACTCACAAAATTGTCAGCTAATTTTTAAAATACCTGTAGCACTGATTTGCCATCTCTGAACTAGTGTGTTTTTGAGCCTTTTTATTAGTGACCAGTTGAAGTATTGTATCCAAGTTTGAAGAATTAAAGAGGTTCTGGAGGAAAGGGACAAATTACATGATATGTCTTATGGCAAAATGAACAGCATATAGTGATCAGGTGACATATGTTTATTGCTGGCAAAGCACCACCTCAGTCCCTGATTAGATATCCAAAGAGTTCCACAAAGAATAATGGTGTTTGAAAAAAGGTAGGAGAAGGAAGGGACCAAGAGCTGGTGGCCATTGTCTTCAGTTACATGGCAAGTGTTCAGAAGAGCTGCCAGCTTTTGTCCTGGGGTTGACTTCCCATTAAAGCAAGGCAGGATTTAGGCCTGAGATCAGTTTGCTCTCCAGCAGGACAGGCTGCCTCCTCGGAAGAATGCTGAGAGTTCGCACTGAGCACCAGAGTATGTGACCACGTGCTCTTCTGTAGGAGAGGGCTGTGAACCAGATGAGCAGAATAGTGTTACCTTCAGCTAATTCGGTTAGTTTTGTTAAGGGTGCTTCATGCTTAAAGATGGTCACCCTATCATTTCCCCCAGGGAGGGTTTCCTGGAAAAAGCATGAAACCTAAGCATGCTCCTGTCCTCTGTAAATAGTTACCTGCACAATGAAGAGGCGAGAACTCAAGTCTTCAGTGTATGTGCTGCTGGGAGGGGTGGGGTGGTGAGGTGAGGAAGACGGTGGTTAATACCAACTACAGCAAGAAGAAAAACAGTTACCACTTGCTGCCGGGCCAGGGGGAGGGATTTACACACCTTCTAACCCTCATAGAAGCCCCACATAGTTTGTATTGTGACCATCTTATGGTTGAACACACAGAGGCTCAGGTCTGTCTTGCTAGTGAGCAGCTGGGCTTAGCCTTGCTTGTGGTCAGTCTTGGTGACAACAGCTAACCTCTTCAGAGGCTTCCCTGGCATTCCCCTCTGCACGTTCTCTGAGGACCAATGCCAGCAGAGTCCCCCCAAGGTGCCAGCCCCTAGTTTTGCAGTCTACACGAAAAGACCCCCTGCCCATCACTGTCCTTTCCACCGATGTGTCCTCAGCATATGTTTATCAGTCATTACTAATGTGTGTGAGGTGCCAGAAGCTGGCCAGTGCAACTGCAGGGTATGTGGGCTGGGCTGAAGAATTAGGGCCTCATGCTGGGCACAGCGGGCTGGACGGTGAATGTTGAGAGCTTGAGGTCTGAAGGCAGAACCCGGAGGATGTGAAGAGTGGTCCGAGGGGTACTAAGGAGATGGGAGCTGCTGTTGTCAGGGTTTGCAAAGGAATGGATTTAATACAGGACATACAGTTTATAGGATTATTTTATAATACCCCAAAAGTCAAATGCAGAGGAGTGCAAGAGGTCTGTCCATGCACTAGAGACAATCCAGCCTGGACAAAACACGAGGCTGTCCTCCATGAGTCCAGCTGAAGACCTAGAGCCCATGGCAGTATCCTCCATGAGTCCAGCTGGAAGCCTAAGGCCCACAACAGTGTCTCATGCGAGTTTGTATCCAGGATCTGCACTGGGAAAGCCCAAAGGCCAGTGGTGGAAGCTAGAAAGTTTGTGCCAGCAGGATGAACGCTCTGTGCCGGCAGGCTGCGGGATCTGCACTGGAGCCAGGAAGCAATGCTCAAGGTAAGGACCAGAGCGTCCCTAAAGAGAACCGCAGCCATCCTCAGTGACAGCGGGGACCCGAGCACCTCCAATGATAACATCTGAGTTCGTATCAGGAAAACCAGTTGACAAGCTTCTCCAGGAAAATCAACAGCGTGCCATCTTCCCCTCCAGTTCTCTTTTTATGCTGTTGGCAGCAGTCCTTAAGTGGGCCCTCTACACCCAGAACCACGCTGACTCAGTTCAGCTCGAGTTCCAAGTTGACCTGAAGTTCATCCAGCACAGGAGCCATGGAACTTGGCTGTGGAGGTGCCGTCAAGGGCATTCAGGTGTAGCGTGCATCTTCTACGCACCACTCTGTGGGACCACAGTGGAAATGATACACACGGCTTGGCCTTGGGAAGCTTATGTCTCAGCAGCATTCAGTACCCAAACACATGAACTAACAAGATAAATTAAGATTGTGGTAAGAGCTGTGAAGAGATAACACCAGACAGGGTTTGGAGTAGGATGGGACACTGAGCTAAACCCTCAATGATGAGCAGGACCCAGCTATTCAGTGAGCTAGGAAAAGATGCCAGGTGAGGGACACAGGTACAAAGGCTCTTCTGGGGTGGGAATCCCTGGAGTGAGCCGCCGACTCGGAGGGCATCCTGTCTCCTTGCTAAGGGAAGGGGCTTGGTTTGGAAGAGGAGACGGATAATGCTCTTGATAATGGAGGTGCCCCAGAGGAGAAGCTGAGCAGGGCTACCTAGAAGAGAGACCAGTGGTAGCTTCCGAAGGGAGTGACCGCAGGAACGTTCACACTTAGGAAAAGGGCCCAGGAGGTGC